AGACAGACACAGACAGACAGACAGCCAGAGAGAGAGAGGGGGGGACGATTGGCTGATTGGCTGCACAGAGAGCCGCTGTGTGGTGCGGTGTTTGGGCTGCCGTCTGTCCGTTGGTAGCCGGGGTCTGACGTTTGCTCTCGAGAGTGTCTGATCTCTCGTCGATGCATCCGTCACACACGGGGGGCTCACAGACAGACGGACAGACCGACACACAAAGACCGACAGCCTGCCTGACAGAGAACGAGACAGGGAGTGTGTGTGTGTGTGTGCGTGACGGATGAGACTATGGGTATGTGGGTGGATGGCGCCTGATCTCGTGTCCCTTGCAATGCACTGGATTGACGGCTGTTGATGACGAAGAGACTGCGGGATTGTCTGTCCTCCACGAAATGCTTCTTTCACAATATGTCGAGTCACTATGAGCCGTGTACCTGTTCGTATGCCCACTCAACAGTCCTCACAGAGGCGTGCTTATCGAAACGATCTTCCTCTGTTTGCGAGCTCGGGTGGCAGGGAGGAAGGAGAGGAGCGGATCTTTGTTTCTGTGTGAAGCACGGCGATGGCGACGGCGACAGCATCGCGGCCAAAGGCCAAGAGGGCGCCTGAAGATCTGGCGCCTTTCACCAAAGACCCGGCGCACCTGCTCAAGCAACAGCAAGTCAAGGCGGACGAAACAGAGCTCGAACGAGAACTCGTAAGGCAACACGACACAACACAGCACAGCATAGCAACCACACATACGACGGCGCACTTGCGCATCGATGTCATCATCGTGTGTGCGTTTTGCTTCCCACCTTGACTTGTTCACTTCGATCAGCGAGCGATGGGATGGGCAGACGAGGACATGGAAGACGTGCATGACATCGAGCACAGCCCCGAGGGCGCTCTGGCGGCGCTGCAGAAGCAGATCGACTCGGCTGGAGCACTCGCCAACAGGATCACATCGCAGGGAGCGAGCGGCAGTGCCGACCAGGTGGCCACGTTGACTGCAGACGATCTGGAAGATGAAGACCTGCTCGACGAGTGGAGAGAGATGGCTGGCGAAGGGGCAGGCGAGGAGACACCGGAGGCGACTGAGCCTGGCCACGACCACCAGCATGAGAAGGACCACGGGCAAGGGCAGCCGGAGGCCACCCCCGCGGTGCAGGAGGGCCATCCCCAAGTCAAGCGCACCAAGACGCAGTCGTCAGAGGGTCTGGGTGTGCAGCTTGAGATGGAGCTCGACTTCCCCTGCAGCGTTAGGCTCATGGAGTCACTCGCCGTCCTCGACAAGACCGTTGTGGACTATTCGGCCCTGCTGCAGGGCAACAAGGATGCCCCTCCCGGCATGACCAAGGAGGACCTGGAGGACGAGATCAGCGCGGCGAAGCTCAAGATCTCCCTGCTGCAGAACGCCGCGCAGTTCGGCCAGATGCGCCCAGAGGAGTACGTTGCTAAGGTGAAGCGGCGGGTGTCGGCCGACGTGAAGCTCGCGGTTCAGCTGAAGAAGATGGATCGGCTGGAGGAGGCCAAGCGGGTGGTGGGTCGCGTACAGATCATGAAGAGCGAGCTCAAGGAGTTCGAACAGCCACCCCCACAGCCACAGGCACAGCCTTCATCTGCTGCTGGGGCTCCTGGCGATGCTATGGATCAGGATGAGGGGGAGTCTGTGGCAGTGGAGATGACCGCCGACCGGCGCAAGCTGCTCAGCCGCCTTGAGAAACGACAGGCACGACAGACACCAGACGCCCACCCCGCACCCACGCAGTCCTCCATCCATCCATCGCTGCTTCTCTGTGTGCGTGCAGACGCTGTATCAGCACGCGGCCTCCATCTGGCAGAAGACAGGTCACTTCTTGGCCACTCATCGGGCGGTGGAGCTGCTGCGCGTGGCCAAGCAGCTGAGGGACCTGCGGAGCCGGCTCGCCGACCCTGCCGTCAAGGCGCCCCCCCTGTCTGAGATCCCGCCGTCTCCCTCGGTGGAGATCCTCATGGGCCAGAGTGAAGAGGAGAGGCAACAACAGCTCAGGGGGCTGGCCAAGACGTTTGATCAGCAGAGGCTGGACGCCCGAGAGAGGTGAGTGGGTGAGGGGGCGAGGCGAGGACAGGGGAAGAGAGGGCTGCTGAGGGGGGTGGCTGAGTGGTGTGTTGTGGTGTGGTGTGGTGTGTTGTATTCAGGGCGCTGTCATGTCTGCGGTCTGATCCCAAGCGCGAGGACGAGGCAAGGCTGCACAACACATACCGACTCAAGTTCGACGAATTCGCAAAGTAATGGATGGATAACCACACACTCACACACACACGCCCACCCATGCCCATTATTCTTATCGTGTGTGCGTCAGGTGGTGTGAGAAGGCCGTCAAGGACTCGCTGCAGCCGCCGCCCCAGACGACCACCATCAACCTCACCGTCACCCAGGAAGTGCAGCTGGAGGACATCCCCGACGAGACCATGCGCGTCACCGTCAAGGTCGGCAAACTGCATCTGCTTCGGGACCCTGACGCAGAGAGGGAGCAGGAGACAGAGGAAATTGCGCCATCTTCCGTCTTCGACCGCCCCAAAGACGACGACTTCCTCGCACCCCCCAGTGGCGGCCATTTGGTGGTCAACCTGGGGTTCCCGCCCTCGCAGCCGATGGAGGTTGAGGTGGACATGACGGAGGACAGGTCAGTGATCGAGCGGCAGAAGACGCGGCCCGTCGACAGCTGCTGGGGCGGACAGGACAAGCCAGGCGACGACGTGTGGGTGGGTGTGTGTGACTTCGCCGTGGGTGACGTCAAGGACTCCATGCTCGAGAGGTACGTGGCGCGCAGCAGGGCCACAGTGGAGATCCGCAGGCCGCGATTCCTGACCGCACTCAGAGGGTGAGAGTCAGCTTGCCAACGAGCATTATCGAGGGTGTGGTGTTCCACTGTCTGTCACGGAGCCGTGACTGTGTGCAGGTACAAGGGCTACGCCAAGATGCACCGCCCCCGTGACCTCAAGTTCGACAGCCTCAAGAGCCGGTGCGAGGTGTCCTACCAGTGCTGGCTGGTCCCCTCACATCCAGCGGCGGGCCAGGAGCGCCTCTACCTGCCCTGCCGCGTCTCATTCGCCATGCGCAAGCCTCTCTGCGGGCGGGACGTCCGGCCTACCACCCTCACCTGGACGACGTGTGTGGAGCCCCTGCCCGTGTCGCTGAGGCAGTTCCGTGTGCAGGTGGGGGACAACGGCAGGCTGGCCATGGCCGCCGCAGAGGACGACAAGGAGCAAGGTATGGTGAGGGAGGGGGAAGGTCATGTGACCTCATGGTGGGTGGTGGTTTGTGGATGTGTTCGTCCCCATTTCTGCAGCTGAGGCGCCTGAGCCTGTTGCGGCTCAGCCAGTCCCATCGCAGCAAGGCCCGTCAGCTCCCGTCAACGGCACCCCAGCGGCCCAGCCGCCCGCCCAGCATCAGCCCGAAGAACCTGCAACCGCCGCCCTCCCAAATCTGCTGCAACTCGCCGACGCGTCAGACGTGATGAACGAGCCTTTCGCAAGCCACCACATCGTCAGCGTGGAGGTCAGCCAACCACACCACACCCACACCCACATCTGCACAATTAATGCCGATCGTGTGTGTGTGTTCTGGGTATATGTGCAGGTGTGTGAGGACCTGCTGGACAACAAGTGGTATACGGGTGTCGTGTCGGACGCTGATGCGTTGGCGTCGCTGCTGGAGGCCACGCAGGCCCGGATGGAGAAGCTCATGAACGCCATACAGGAGGGGGACCTCACCTTCGACCAGTACGTCGAGGCCAACAGACAGGCCGTCACACGAGACAAACACGTAGGCCCAACACACACACACACACACACTCACACAAGGATGGCCGTAGCATCCATCGGTTGGCGCTGCTCCTCCTGCCTTGTGTGTGTGGGGTTAACTCAATCAGGTTGCTGCCTCGTTGAGCCGTGCCGGCCGCAAGCCGGAGGCGCTCGTGGTGCTCAAACGCGTCAAGGTCATGCAGGTACGCACACACACACACACACACTTGCCACCATGGCCATCCATGAATGCGAGTACATCGTTCGCCTGTGCGATGCCCTCCCTGTGTCCCACACTGCGCAACACTTGCAGGATGCCCTTGAACAGGCCGGCTGATGCATGGCTTGCAAGCACACATGAGCAATGGAAGTGTGGGGCAGTTTTGATCAAGGGGCCTGATTGATTGGGCAGAACAGTGATTCTGTGACATCGATGCGCCCAAAGATGACCTGTGCAATGAATCAAATCCCTTTGTTCATTCGTCCGCGACCGGCCAAGAGCGCGCAAGAGAACGTCGCTGAAGTTGCGTAACACAGTGGTCAAGCGAGTTATCGGCCAACGCACACCAAGCACAAAGAGCCTTCACGGAACACGCAAGAGTCTTTTGTCCGGTGCAAGGAGGGACAGGCAGACAGAAGGAGAGCGGGCGCCAACCGTCCATCTATCTATCCGCCATTTCGCATTCGCATTCGCATGGCTCTAGGGCGCGTATAACTGTTCTCCAACCTGTGGGCGTATCAGTCCGCAACACCCCTCTTCGCATACAGCACTAGGAATCACGAAGCCCTAGCCAAGCCCTGAACCTCAAACCCAGGGGTTGGATCCTGCTTCACTCTTCCAAGCGTGTGCGTCTGTTGGACAGTCGGAGGACGGCAACCGAGCCAACCCACCAATGAACGGTTCCATCTGGAAGCAGGAGCGGTGCCTCACGTGTACTCTCCCAACCGATGGGTCAGTCACACACACTACACAGCACTGTGGGACTCTCTGCTTCCTTAGTCCACCTTGCGCCTCTTTGTCCTATCACTCTTTGATGTCTGACGCTTTCTCTTCTGCCTCTCAGGCTCAGTCGTCAGCCCATCGTTGCTGAGAGTGATGGCGTCGGCTCCTCTCGTCACCATGCACGTCAACTTCGCGTGCTGTGAGGC